TTCAAAGCAATATTGTGGACAAAATTTCGCTCTTTTAAAATCTGCTTGGTTCTACAAGAGTTTGAGGTTGACTGGCGGAAGCAAGTTTGTCTAAAATAGTCAAAGCTTGACGTTTTGAATGAATGCATAATGTTTGGCGCTTTTCACAACGGATTGTCTTCAGAAACCGCGGGTTCTAAACCATGACCTTGGGATGTATAGATAAGAGCTGCATGCCGGTGGATTGTTTTGAAGTTAGTTCGTTTATTCAGCAGCTTCATACGTTGTATTCAATGTCAACTGTTAATGCGGTGTCACTGGTTGATGATAATGGGGCAACACACAAATTCATTCTGCTGAATAAAATGTTTCACAATCGTGTTCGATTTGCCGCATCGACAAAAATATTCTGACCGGTCCTAATGAAACGTCTGGTAAACTAGTCTCTGCTGTGTAGATGATTGAATAAATATGATATATGTCATGTTTCTGATTTATCTAAAATCGTTTCAGTTTGCGGATAAACCTCTTGTGCATGGGAATTACATAGGCTGTGGCCGGAAAAAGTTAGTTATAACGAGTAAAAATACGCATCTGAATGCAGTTAACAGAGGTTTCGCTCGTTCCCCGTTATAGTAAATTTTAGTTCGAAACAAGCGTCATATATCCAGCCAATCCGAGGTTTGCAGGGAAGCGAAAACCAGCGTTTGATTTGTTTGACTGAACTCATTTGGAAAGGCGGTCAGGATTACACCAGCTCAAAAACGCCACATTAGTATCGACAACCAGGTGAATTCCATTCTGCGGCCCAAAAAAATTCACATTTTCTTCGGTTATGTTCTTAAGTGTAGTGGACAATGGGTGTTTACTTTTCGAAACGTTTCACAGGGTAATGCTTGTCATAAAGTGAAATAAAACGGACCTGATCTACTTCTTGTATAAAAAGTGGAAGCTTAAATAAACGTGCCCAGATTTAGTAATACAGTCAACATTATTGTCCAAAGAGTGGTTGCCATAGTGCGTGCTTGTACTCAAAGCTGCGGAATGGTGCGTTCTCCTTATAGATGCCGCTGGCGTGAACCCTATGTGTAGCGCTAAGAAGATCCAGTCAAATTCCAACTCAGTTTCGAGCAAATGACAAACTGATGTACGAATGGGTGTACTTCTCAAACCTTTGTTTGTTTTCTTAGCAGCGAAAGCAGTTTTCCATGATTCCAAATATTTTGATGCACAATTCCGCAACTGCTGTTTGTTTGGTGCATTGAAGTAAGTTGGTTGTTTAGTCATTGCGAAGATATTTTTTCCCTTTTGACAGCAGATGAGATTGTGCTATACTGCTACTCGGGCAATTTTAGTAAGACACTTATCGTTAGCCAAGAGAGACTCCCCTTATTGATTAATGCGAAGTGCAAATCATCTTAAGCGATTTCTCTGTGCCACAGCAATGAGATTTCCTACTGGATCTCAGCCTTCAATGGCAGACTCATGTTAAAATTCTAGCCAGATAGTCCTTTACGGGGTGAGTTAATAATTCCAAGCTAAACTGTTCTTTAGAATGTTCAGTCTATCGTCTAAGGCGAGCCTCCTTTAATGAGCTTAGGCCCCACAATTCTCGTAAATTGTACGAAGCTTCAAGACGTCCTGGTGATACAGGGGAATTCTAAAACCTAAACTTTTCAAGCCGTACAATAAATGCGTCGTAACAGTCTGAACTGACAGTTGGTAAGGCAGATCCCTAAACAAATATGGACGTACTGAAAGACAGAAGAATATATAGGTTTTCATAAGCGAAATTGACTTGACCGTACCAAACAGAACCAGATATAGAAAAGTTCAGGAGACTCCGTCCCGTACGTGGAGACGATCAATCCCCGGAAGCGGAGAAGAATCTCACCGCTGTTTAATTTCCTTAGCTAAAATCATCAACGGGGCGCAGCTCCCGAAAATCTGGGGAGTCTGAATGCACGCACCTTTCGTTTAGGAGATTCAACTCTAGACTCTCCGGCGAACATTAGATGTACAGCTCTGTGGTTAACTGGCATTTAGAAAAAAATACAGTGCACCTTATCCTTTTTCACGGAATCCGAATAATGTGTGCGCGCTGCTTGGGAAACGACTCACCAGAGCAGGCCATTTATAATCTATCCCTGACCTTCCGAGAATTGTTTCTTAGTAAAGAGAGATCAATATATTTTGATAATGATTTCGTCTTTGCAACGCTCTGTTGCACCCAGCCCATATTTGATTTAGTGCCGCCGTGTTTGGCCGCCTCTTCTCCAGTTGAAGATTTCAGCTGCTAAAGGAAACTCGTTTCTTTTGAGACTGTCTGCAGTTTCAAAAGGTGCACGCCGCGGAGGATTTACAACAAGGATGAAGGAGCTTTCTGGTCGTTTCCGGCTTTTTGGCCAAGGTTGGCTCTACTCTACGCAGTTTACAAAACATCTCATACTACCAAACGGAAGCTCCATGGTTTTAAAAGAGCCCCTCCGAATACCATTTCATTCATTGAATAAACACTTTGTGATCTGTGAGCTCAAATCTTGAAATTGAAAAATATGCGAGTAAGCCACCAGTGTGCGGTCTATATCCACCCCTGGAAAGATCATCTCAACGAAGTTTTAAAGTTGTCATTGACCGTTTTCGAGGATAAAGCTGGGGCAATCCTCCAACTTCACTCATTAGTTTAGAGATGTAACCCGTGCGCACAAAAAGTATGCGCACGTTCAACCGTTTGGTATCCAATGATAGAAAAGTTCAGAAGAAAATAGGTATAAAATCTCGCAGTCAGTTAGTTGATGTCTTCGAACGATCTGAGGCAATAAAACGCTGCCAGCATTGAAGCAACGTTTTTTAAAAATGCTGCCTGGAAGTATTTGATTTATAACACATTCAGGATACAAACTAAACATCATTTGTGAGCTGGATACTACAGCATCAGTCCGCGGCACCAAAATCTACGTTGCTTGACTTATCTTGTAATTTCGTCTGAAAAACGTCACAGCCGACCAGAAGTAAAAATAAATCTATGTTCCCCTCCACAGGCAAAATATGCTTGAAGGCATCGAAGTAGAAGCTTCCGCTAGGTTTGACCTAGAAAAAGTTACGGAGAAACACACTGTTGACAAAAACTTGTGTATTTTACTAATTGCAACCAGTTTCATTGTGCTTAGCGTGTTATACTCAGCATTTGAGAAGCACAGAACAATTGTGAGGAGTGGTGAAACGGGTACGCGAGTAATTATTGACAACTTCAGCATTTTACTGCAGCGAATCCCATCTGGTAACTTTGTTGGTCAAATAACAGATAAAAGTGCCGCAAAAGCGATACCCCGAGGGTCCACGTTGTATCGCCACTGTCTGCATTCGCTTGTATTGCAAAATGATGGAATCCGACGGTCTAAATCCAAAAACAAAATAAACCGCCAAAAATACTCGTAAGATAACAACAATCTACACGAGCATCAACACCCAAATTTTTACTTACGTATCTTGTAAGTTCTTGAGGTGGTAGCGTGAACACGTGAGATTGCATTTTAATTTTCAGTGGACGGATCAGATGCAGATTATGTGGGCAAACATGCAGCATCCCGTCAGTATGTTTTTCCACAACCGAATGTTTCAGAAAGACATTTGACACTTCCGCTGGTGCAAAAGCATCCGGAGATCCAGTGTCTACGTGTGCTCGACAGGGGTTACAAAGCGTCACGTCGCCATACTGTATGCTGAAATTATTGGAAATTGCAAGCACTATTCTAATCTGCCCCCAAGCTCGAACACAACGAGGTTCATCTGTAGTTTCAAATAGTACTAAATGTCGTTTTGATCCAACCAATACACACAAGCTCAATCACCTTATAACCTCACATAAAAACGATATTCATTCATCTACTCCGCAAGGTCTCCCTCCCGTCTTCTTACAGTTTACATGTTCGTCTTCAGACTTTCGGATATACGAAAGAGTTTGTTGGGTGTACAGTGTCAAAAATCATGCTTCTTTAAGATAGGTTTATATACCGCCGGCGTCAATCCTATTTTAACGCCGAGAAGCCTTTTTAACTAAAAGCATTCACCATCTGAATTTACATAACTGAATAACTCATTCTGTCAAAGTGTCATGCTTGTTGAGTCATTCCGGTTCCATTTATTTTGATGCTGGTGTCACATCGGCATCTTTGCGCGGGTTAACAGTAAGCCGAAAAATAAGTTTTATTGTGATAGAGGAGTAATGCAACAAGAAGGCGTGCAGAATCTTAGAGCCCTTCCGAAACAAACTAGGATTATGTACAACACATTGAAATACGCTTGCAACACTCATGTTGTATTGAGTGTGTGCACTGCACGAAGTGATTTCTAGTTTGTTCACCAAGCTAGAGGCTACAATACCTGAGGTACAAACGGTAGCCAGGGTAACAGAGCGCGATGTTGATTATGTTATTATTCCTCACGCTGCGGAATCCATATAGTTTATTCTGTTAGACTTCACTCAGAAAATTTGGATCCGGATCCTGAGCAACCTCTATACATTTTCCCACCCCGCGACAACATGCACCACCACTAAACTCCACTAGCTTCCTAACAGCGCATTGATGCCATCCCGATCGATGATAAACCATTTTAATCAAATAGCGCAGCTCAGCAAACAAGCCAGCAGTTAACTGGAAACGAACTGAGAGAGATATTTGGACTTTTCGTTTATCCGAAGCTTACATGGGCATTGAATTGCCACTATATAGCACGAAATTCCTCTGGGTCAAGTTCGTATAATGAATTAAAATGTTTTTCAGTGCTGTCAAAATGCATATTTCATCAAGAAATACACTCAATTGTTTTTCACGAGAAGCTCAACAAAATCGCTCCTTTATGATATTCTACGACTAAATGTGCTGCACACAGGCCATGTTTCATGTTTCAGCTGGCACGATATTCAAGACGTCGCAGTATACTTTCATAAAATAAACCAATCAAAAGGTTGCTGAAAACTTTTCAACAGCCCACGACCACTTTCGGCCTTCTTGGAACATTCAGGTAGACGCAGTCCCCGAGTTTCTTTCAATCTTAAGTTCTACCTGAACCCAAAATGGACTGTTTCCGCGAAATACACTCATCTGCAGATCAATTTGATTATGGGCTGTCGAAGAGATTTCAGCAAACTTGTGAGTAGTTCCCTTTGTGATAATATTCTGCGATATCTCGAATATCGTGCCAACGGAAACATGAGACGACCTGTGTGCAGCACATTCAATTGTAGAATATTATAAACGAGAGATTCAGTTGAGTCTCTCGTGAAAACCAAATTGATTTGCAAATGAGTGCGTTTCTTGAAAACAGTCCAATTTCGGTTCAAATAGACCATAAGGTTGACGGAAACTCGGGGACTTGGCCTACCTGATTATCCCCGAGAAGGACAAAACCGGACTTATTTTTTCTATTTGATGCAACGCTATTTTTATCAACTAATGCTTTTACCCCGCGTATTTTTGCGACAAAAAAGAACAAACATACAATGAGGACACGTAAGTGAACTGTACATCTGTTGCGTTAGTGCAACTGAATGTTGGTAAATGGCAAGGTGAGGTGCCAATACTTAAGGTGAAAAGTGAATGAAAGGATAAAAATTAATAATATGAGTTGCTGAAAAAGTCGGCTATCAGTGGCATGACATTTTGTTCTGATACTCTCTTACAACACGCTAAAGAGCAAATCACAAAACAGAAAAACACAATAGTAATATATTTTAAGGCCCAAGTTGCACACTTTTGATACTGGCAGATGTGTAGCCCAAATTACTTAAACAAGCTGCTAATTTGAATATTACTTTAGCCTGCTGAGATTAGCCTCAGACCCTATAAACAAGACAATTGTGCACTTTTAGTGTTGTGATTCGCCGTTTGGTGGAAATATCGATTATGGCAAGTTTCAGCCAATAGAAGGTTATTTCCTTGCACCTCTACGGGCTAAAGTCGGTTAGTTATGATGCATGTATTTTTGAATCGCTCTGTATGCATTCTTCACTGTTAATCTGAGTGCATATTTCCAAATAGGTGAAATGTCCTCAACAAAGGAAATAAAACACAAGTTTTACAAACTATATGTGGACTAATTGACTTGGGCTAAAAGTTTTTAATCCTCGAAGAAATACCATGTCAACAAGCCTTCAACTTGCCTGGTGATGTCTATCACCCATTGGGTCCCTTGATGTAGTGGCAAATTCACAATTGGCGGGTGGTAGTAATCCCAGCGGGTTTCTCCAAAATTAAGATTTCCGCGTACAAACCAGGAATCTCCGCGTACGCCTGGTTGACTGAAATCACAGGTTATAAGGGTACATCAACTCAACTGTCAAAGCAAGATTACTGCCGTCAAAATCAGAAGACAGAGGATTTGCAGCTTGGAAACAGCCTATAATTTGCGACTCAGAACCTCGAGGCATAGATGTTCCACTAGAAACCTGGAAACATTGACTGCTTCAGGGAAAGTGAATAAGCATAGAAGAATTTTACCGAAGTGTCGGCTAGTCTGTAAATGCTCCCTCTTCCGGAACAAGTGCAAAATCTTCTGACGTCAATATCTCATGGATTGATCTTCACTAGCTGGGACGTGTTCATTCATGCAAAAATTGCTCATTAACTAAAATAATATAAGTAGTGAAACAAGCATGTGGAACGTTGTTTATTATATTTGTTTCAACAATCCCCCATCCAAATGGCCGGGGATACTTGCTTAATTTGTGATTTTAATGTTTTGTAAATTTATTCACCGAACGCCGTGTATTTACATCACCGTTTATCGTCAGCAACAAACAAATGTCTTTCATCTGCAACATACTGAGAGCAGGGTGTGTACAATCTAAACATTGCACCAAACCCAGAGTTATCCGGTTGCTTGGGGCATTTTAAAGCATTTTGAGTAATCTATTAAACGTTCTATTTCATGAGCTGGTCTACAATCAGAAATTAGTTCAAACACTGACGCTCACTGGCCTGTGATTAATCACTCTAGGCAGGATAAGTTTTTCTGGGGCAAAATTTTGGTACAGTGCGAAGAACACAAATAAGCGTTAAGCACTATCTTTATTCAAGCTACCAACAATTTAGCATAGTTACCACCTAATATAACGAGGGTTTGGACCTGGGCCATACAGAATGAGTGCAATACCAATGGTCACAGGGATCTACACACAATACATAATCAAGATGTCTTTTTAACTACCCATTAGGTCCTATTTCCAGACGCTGAGCGGTTGGTTTACATCGCGTCCAGAAACCGTTGTTGTTCTGTTTCAATAATCAATCCGAATAGTCTCATACGAATAAGGGCTTATGTTCAAGGAGAGAATGCATAAGGTCGGATTGTTTTAAAATAAGTACTTCGGTGAAAAACCGCTAAACAAATTGTGCGCATTAAACATTGTAGGGTGCTTGTTCTTATTATGTGGAATACTGGGGCCAAAATGTTCTCCATTTATTGTGTGTTTAGAAAGTGTCAGAGGTTAAAGGCTGTACGCTGATGCAGTTTAGCTTAAAAGGTCGCAAAATTTGTGCCGCTTGGTGATGCCAGTGTATTCACGGCCAAGTAAATGAATTGTGTAGGCAATACATTTTTGTCTCTGTGTAGCTCAGTGTATTAGTTGGCGTATACTGTGCCAATATTAGTCCTGACACACAACGCGAATTATAGAATGGGTCAAACGTACATTTAGAGAAAAACGTTATTCTACTAAAAATCGACATACCCGCAAAACCGGAAAGTAAAAATAGCGTCATTCACGAGTTTGGCATCCATAATAAAATCCAAAAATGTAGTTTTCAAAAATTTACAGCTTTCGAAACTTTCTGGAGGTCTCCTCATCCCGAATATTCCATCATATCCTTTTCTGTCGTCCACGGCACCAGAGCTCTCCACGACTTCAGCGAACGTAAAATGTGGGATCATGCGACCCGCAATCTTTCGAAATAGAAATGGAAAAATGGATTTCACTGACTAACCCATAGCTGATCTATCATCACATTCCCCTTATATTTCTCACCAGAGTAACTAGTTTCGTACTCTTCGTTCATTGAGACGCTCGTTTCTGCCTGTCCAGTGTATTTCTTTTTATTTGCAAATTCCACAGATGTTGACTTGCTCGACGGTATCCACCGTGTCCATCCTCCTGTATCAAGAAGAACCATGAAGGGCTGCCCACCTATGTTTACCGGGATGATCGGATGCCCCAAGAAGAATAAAAATGCTAAGTTATGTACATTCACCGAGAACTTACTGCGTTGTCGCTAAAGCACGGAGCGGAGAAAATTTGGCATTGGACATGCATTGAACTTTTCACTCGTCACTGAAGACAGCACGTCACTAACCTTGATTTCAGGAAATAAGAGTCAGCACGTCACTAACCTTGATTTCAGGAGACAAAATAAGAGTAATATTGACAATAGTTTTTCGGACAGTCGCTGAGACATCTTAACCACGCTTCGATAGTTGCAGATACGCAGATACGATTAGCGTTTCCCAGTTTCTGAAGCATCCAAAAAAACATAATCTTCAAATAATTATGACTATTAGATAGATTGGGATTGGCGGACGTCATGTTAAACGCACAGCCAATCTGGAACAAATGTGAACGACCGATGTACGCCGGTGATTCGGGCAACGGCATTTCTGAATTGAAGCTTACGTGCAACTTTCGTACTTCACTTCGCAACAATGATTTTCATAAACCTACAGTCGTCGGTTGTGCTTCATTGGTGGCCTATTCTGGGCCGCCTTGCACAATCAGATGAAATAACTGGTAACGAGATGAGACTTGTGGAATTAATTTGAAATTTAATTTCTTCAGTTTAACAGGCCAAAAGCACTGTGCTGTTTGGGCCACCCTTGACTAGACAAAACGAGTTTATCCAATTTTTTGCGTACCAGTCGATCCGATGCCAGCTAATCCAGTGTTCCATAGACGTAACGAGCATTTAGTGCGCCGCGAGTGTGACAAGGCCTGAGTCTGAGTTGGACAGAAAAACAATTATCAGGACACTTAGTAACGTATATTTTCTAGAGATCAAACTAGAAACTTTGTTCACAAAATCGAATGGAATAAACGTGCAATTTTAATATGGCACAAACAGGAGATGAACTTCAAACAAAAGAGTGAATTTAGGATAATAAAACGCTATCTATCAAAACCTTTAAACATGTATTGGTTAATAGCAAACGATTGGACAAGATGATATAAGCACACAAAGCAATTAATTTGATACCTTTACCGTTAACTAGAAGTTGAGACAGTGCATTCAAACGCAAAAATATGTTGCGCTATTTCAACCGTTGAGTTGATGGTTTGAGCGACCGCTTTTTTTACAGATGTAAAAGAATGTTATCACCTGTCTGCTGATTTTGAATCGCAGGAATGTTCTGTGGTCAGATAGGGTATTCAACACAAACACAATTCCTTCATATTCGTCAGTCTTCCAGATGAAGTCATATAACCAGTCAAATACTGTGACCCACGTTTTTTGCGCTAGAATTTTCACCGATGCGTCCGTCCATACCTCTAATACGGAGCATTTATTAGCCGGTTAATCTGGTCTTATTTGTTGTATGCCAAATGCAATTTCAAAATTTGAGATCCTTCTAAAATATACTCATTGAGGTGCCTATGCGAAAATGCAATGTTTCTTTATCATACGCTTACAGGTACACAATACATCAAGAGGATACCAGCAATAATATTGTGATATACAACTTCTCGTTACTGATTTTCAGATTAAACAATGCTATTTGAGGAGAGGATAAGCTGATGACCCGAATTCATATCCATAAAATTTGGCTTACATATTATCCACTGTGGAGGCGTTTCAGAATTCATTTTTCGGGTAATGCCAGCGATTTTCCGTAAACATGGTAATCCACACATGGTTTCCTTGGGGTCTGAACTATCTTTCGGTATTTCAGTTTGATTTCGTGGCTAATCTGAATTTTTCCTGAAGTATTCTCTGCACCGTTTTACGCATTCCTTGCGGCTTCCAGAACACTAGCGCAACCAAAGTTTTTATCACCCATTGCATTGTTGCCGAAATTTAATTAAGTTTTCTGGTGTAAGGCTTAGTTCTCTTGTCTTATGCTTAATGCACGCTCAAACAGTAACAAAAATATTGCATCAGCTTACACATCACGCTATCACTGAACAGTGGCACCAAGAAAATATTATATATTCAGAGAATGAACGTAAGTCCCGAACAACATTCTTAGCACAAAATACCTTGAAGAGATATCGCAGTCAGTTGGACCAATAATGGATATTAATTAGAAGCATTAGTAAATATTCAGCCTTCAAAAATTTCCAAACGTCTAGGTATTCAGACAACCCAGCTTTTATACACGCATCTGAGGACATTAACTGATACTGTTTATGGTTAAATATTTTGAATGACTCCTGGTGCTCATCTAGAAAAAAACAATTTTGTCGCGCAAAGCCTCGTTCGAGATATTCAACGTGGGGAAGTTTGACGAAAAACTGTATAAGTATAAAAGTCAGATAGTCCCACCAAAGTCCAGCCAATGTATTTATGGTCTCCAATCATCACTTTTTGGACCATTTGACTAGTTTGTTATTAGGCTTAATTTTGAGGCTCACCTGCTAATTAGGCGGGATATTCAATTTGATTCTGAAGATTCCAGGCTGCAACAAGCCCACTGAGCCATGTACCTAATGCAACGTAAGACGTAAGTTTGCTAGTAGTATATTTTGTTGCATAACTCTCATCAAGCTGTTTCCCGCGGACGAAGGCCAATCCAGGAACCTAATCTGCTCACCAGGCAGGTTTTTTTAGCTGACGCTGACGGCCTAAAGTAACAACATTAACGTATCTTTCAATGTGGAACAGAAAGCTGTTTTCCGTCGTTTTCGGACACATTATCCCGATGTGATGTGAGACAAATAATTTTAGTGTACTATCTGGCATGAGTAAAGTGTTTTTTGCCTTCCACCATCTCACGTATATTTGGAAGTGTGCAAAATTGAAGGGCTCTAAAATGTCAGTGCTTCCGAATTTAGTAGTACTTTTTACGGCACATATTTTCAGGCCTTATTTAGTGAATTTTTCGAAAATCTACACCAAACCCATAGTTGCAAACCAAAAGGCAGTTTACCTTTATTTAAAACGTAATTTTGCATTGCAGGGATGGTCTTGCAAGAAAACCAATAAAAGCGTGTGTGAGTGGTTTCCGGGGTTGCGGGGTTAAACAGCTAAATAAATACGAGGAAATAGATAAAATAAATAAATAAGTAAAATTTCATGGACATGACACCATTAACACACGATATTTTAATTTCTGGCAGAAGGAAATCCACTTAAAAGCAGGCGGTTAGATTTGATCAAAAGAGGAATCGAGTAATTCAGAAAATTAAATTAAGAGAAGCATTTCCAAAACTGTATGCTTTTTCCCGTATTTTTCAGTGACATCGCGCTCTAGATCTTTGATGGAAACAGAACCGCAGCGCCCACGGTTGACGAGTCAGTGAATTTATAGGCAAATGTGTCCAATATGAAAATTATGGAACAATTGTGAAAGCGGGAAAACCATAAAATAATGTTTTATCATACAAATTGGTTTGATTACGTGGTTGTGGGTGGAGTAACTATGTTGCCCAAAGATGTATTCTCAGTGACAATGGCATTTCTCAGTTTATGAATTTTCCGCAGCACAATGTAACCCTTCATAATTCCTTGTTTTATTTGAACGTAATCAGTCACTGACCAACTTTGAATTCCACCAATTTCCATTATCATTATTTATTTTAAGCTATCATTGATTTCGGTCATTTTCATTTATAACAAAACCGCTATAAGAAAGTGTGGTTCAATGACTTGATTCCTGGTCTTTATAATATTTCTACAGCACCACACTCGAGATATCCTCAGGATCTAGTAGTTTTGCTAGAAATATTGTGGAAAACATTGTAAATTTCTCAACGGCTTGAACAAGGGATTACTAATCCGGATTCAAGGAACGTGTCTTTATCCCGGAAGAGCCACGCACCATGACTTAATATATTACTCTGGAGATTCCTTTAAAACTGAGACTATCCAGCGGCTCTCGGATACAACTCTACTCTTCAGAAGTGCCTAATGCTCCGTGTTAATTTATTGTGCTGCTATGTCAAAATCGGCCACGCTCGAAGAAGCCAAGCAGAGCTCCAGCTGTCACTAACTTGCAAGTGCTTACTGCAGGCATGCAAGCTTTGGTGGGCGGGTAATATTTGGATCAAATAGCAGAATAATTCGAACTTGGCAGGAAAAATTACTTCAGATTACTAATGGATATGCACATTGCATGGGTTTATCTGATTGCTTTGAAAGTAAATGACCCAAACGATGCATTTAGTTAGCTGACATTAAATTTCAGTTTGCTGCGAGGAGAATAATGGACGTACTCCGCCAACAGCGGCTGCAATACATAAGTGCACCGCATTCCACCAGCCAATAAATTAGCTGATGAATTACACACATTTATTTGATGACGTCAAAACAACGTTCTCTCCTCGATCAACCTTGGCAGGAAACAATATTGTTCTCTGTTTTAAAGGTTGTCAGGATTCTAGCGAATGTACACTCATTTGCAAACTTATTTGTTTTTTCGACAGTCTCACCTGGAACCCAGCTGGATCTAAATTTAGTGATGTTTATGATGTTTGTGATGTCAGGATTTGTTTTTTTTACTACAGAATATGGAAACAGAGCCATCGAACTGCTCAAGTTTAAGCAGGATTGAAGCGATATATCAGGAAATTATTAGTGAGAACGTGTATAGTTCGCCTTCTAAATCAGTTCCCTCTGGTTGAATGTTGCGATGCAGTATTTAAGTGTACGCTGTGAATCGCTATGGTTTGTTGTGTACGTGGACTCAAAAACAGTGTATATGTGATGCAAACGAACCATCTGTTGTGTGGGATTACACGTGTAAATAATTTGATATGTTTTTGTAGGTTTATTTGCAATTACTTATCCTAATTTCAACAACATCAGCAACAAATGAGCATCCATCAAACGACTTCGGGAAGCATTAGCATGGCGCGTGCCAAAATGTCATCCTTTATGCTGTGTGTTTGTAGTTTGCTGCACAGAGGGTAGGACTTCAGGCCCATAAGTATGCAAACTTATCAAACGAAGCCCTTGACAGGGTGGTTGTAATTCACCAAAATCAAACGTGGTGGCAGAACACCGTCGCAACTTTATCGCCCTATGCCCAGCCTCCTCTGCGGCCGCAAGCTGGCAATGGAAATCCTGACCCAACTTTGGCTGGATAAGCTTAAACCCTCCATGTTCTTTGTGTTGTATGTTGGTTTGCCTCCATCGTTCAACATCCCTTTCAGGGTTAATAAAACAGTTAAAACCTTGACCAAGAGGACACTCTACAGCCAAATTTTACCCGGAATTCTCAATGCCAATGTAATCTCATGCCTCTAGCAAAATCTCCCTAGCAATTTTATCCGCCAGGGGTTTTGCTCAGTTACTAAAATAAAACAACTGGGTCAATCATAAGTAAAAAATCACAGAAAGCAAATACACAAAAGCGTATGCGGCCAACGATTCCTAAGGTAGGATCTATTATCAACAGAGTAACCGAGTGTGGAAAGCTGTTAGCATTCCAGCCAGAGTACTCTGTAAATTGACATCATTTTTGGTGAGTCTGAGAACACTGAGTAAAGCCATAATAAGTGTAAAAAACATAGGTTCATCTAACCACAGTTGATCACCACTTCTCTGAATTTTGCTAGCTACCGCTGGATATCTCAAAGGGTTCCGAAATTTCAACTAGACCACCATTTTTAACTAGCAGCAGGAAATCGGCGCAGTCGTAATACAGTCAGCTACACATCAAAGGTTTATGCCTGTCCTTGTCCCATTAGTATTCAAACAGCGAACTTTTCTAGATGACTAAATACAATATGTCGTTACTTTTCAACAAAATGGTGACAAATATGTGTAAAATGCAGTGTGAACTTTGCGTCTCAGGATGTCCTCAGATAAACCTTACTACATGGCACAAATGCTAGATGTATTCATTTATCTCGAACGCATTTTTTTCCTTATTTCACAATTGCATGCGATTTATATTTGCCAACATGCATGTTTCAACCACGCAACCAAGAGATTGGTGTGCATAAGTTGTCCGTTGTTTCTGAATTACGCACCACGCTTTGAGAAATACTGCAGTCTATATATTTTCTAAATTAACAGTCAGAAAAAGTAGGGGGTATATGGGTCTTCAGCGCGTAAGTAAGCACTCAGAGTATTGAAACTTTGTCCACAAAAAACTAGGCACTCATTTGTAGTCAACCAAAGTCACGAGAGGAGTTGCCCGAAATGTACAGTCTATCTGCAGAGACTGCCCGTATTTGGGACAGCGAAATATTTAAAGCGAACACATTCCAGTTTGTATATTTTGCTGCACTGTGGGTTGTACACGGTTAAAAAGCAACGTATTCAATGATCATTTATTTTCCCACGTTCAAGCTTAAATCGTTTCATTGACCCGGCCTAGACAATTCAGTTCAAACTTTCCACACAAGTTAAAATAAGTTGCTACGATAGAATTTTAGACCTATGAGGTCTAAATCCCAGTACACCAAGTAACTGAACGCCTAAAGCGACAACTTACTCAATGCGTTCTTGCGTATTTACTGTGTCATGGCGGCAGGTGGTACACAAACGGTGAAAAAACCTGCAGCAAGCGACACATGAATCCATCAAAACTGTCCTACAAAATCATTCATCAGGAGGCTTTTTCTGAACTTACATAGACGTAGAGACCTGGACTAGTAGTGATTCGCAGAAACATTATTACATTTTTACTTAAAAAAACAGGTCATTATCAGGCGAGTAAATTGAGTGGGGGAAAATGAATGAGCAGTTTATCTGCACGGGTTGCTCAAAGAGAGAACTGTAAAATATTTTTTCGTGGCGTTCACGTGTTTTATGTATTTTATTAGAGGAGTACAAACCTAGGAGACGATAACTTCAGTGGTAATATCTTTCTATCGAATGTAGCCACTAGCCTCTGC